CAGAAATTTCCCTGCTTGCTCGCACACCTTTTCATGCTTTTTTTTACCTCCCTTACTTGTTCCACTCATTCACCCACACAAACACATACATATCCACCCCTCTAAGCCCAGTCACATCCACCCACACACAACCTCTACTGCAGTGCAAACAATACAACCTTTGAGTTCACATTACAATATAATTCATCTGTCTGAGACAACAGTAAACCCAAAGCCTTGGAAACAAAAGGGCCGAGGCCTAGAAAAAAATCCAAACAAGGAAGCTTTGACAGGTGTGATTTTTACCCCACCCCCAATCACCCTGCTCCATTCCACCTGTTGCCTCTCTGGAAAACACACTCCCCTCAGCTGCCCTGTGGGACACCATAAAACACACACACACACACACACACACACACCCCTGTGTTAACCATCTCTGGCTGCGAAAGCTGACTTTTCAGCTCTGTGGTTGTACAGTTGGCAGGATATAGTGAAATGTATCATACAATCACACAGAGTTTTTATACATAACATGGAATTCTGAATACTTTTCATCGCTTACAGAAGCACATATGGTAACGTTATTAAGTTGAGTCCATCACAAGATCTAAAAGTATGCTGTAAGTAAGGGAAATGATTAGTCGATTAACAGAAAATTAACCTGCAAATGGTGTCAGCTTCTCGAATGTAAATATTTGCTGGTTTTCTTTGTCTTCTATGAAAGTAAATTTAATATATTTTAATTTTGGACTGTTATATGTACAAAACAATGCCGTTCAGTGATATTGCAATACATCACCTTAGCTCTGGGAACTTTACACTATATTCTGACATTTTATAGACAAACAGTTCACCCATTAATTGAGAAAATTATTAGCACATTAACTGATAATGAAAATAATCTATTGCACCTCTTCTGTGAATTACTTTGTGTGTTTTTATACTCCATATTGGTGAATGTTTCAAAAAACAAGGATTGTCAGACATCAGTCTGGAAATTAAACACAGTACACTCTGAAATGTTGCTCATTATGCAGCCCGAGTCAATGTTATTACTATATATTATAATAATTGATAATTGTTGCTGATGCATAACAGTATGAGCAGAATTTTGATAATGAAGTTGGTAGAATTGGAGCCAATTTTACTACTCTTTACACTGCTGGGTGTTTTAATATTCAGCATGTAACATCATAGTTCATTACATGTTTCTTAATATGTAAGATCTTAATCTGCAAAGTCACACTAAAGCTTTCAAATACATGTAGCCTAGTGGAGTAAAAAGTAAAATATTTCCTGAAAATGAAAATACTCGAGTAAATGTGTGTGTACATATACTGTGTATGTGTGTGAAAATGACCTACATATAATTACTCCCTTTACTCCCAGCCCCCACCCCAAAAAAAGCAAAAACAAAACAACAAACAGTAAAACTTGTAATCACTTCCAGCAGCCCAGAACATGTTCTTCAGTTGTAGTTTGTATTCAGTTGAATGCACTTATTGTAAGTCACTTTGGACAAATATAATATAATGTGGACTATTAGTAGTAGTGGACAAACAGACACACACACACACACACACACACACACACACACACACACACACAAAGAACAGAACAAAAGCATATTCACACATGATGCCATCCATGTACAGCAAGAACAAATAGTATACTGAACACTATGATATCCACTACATTTATTTGACAGTTAAAGTTACTTAGCAGATTTTGAAAACAAATTTACAAAAATTACAGTTAAAATTAGCTCCACTTCACTTAATTCATGATTAAGACTAATGATCATTGTAGGCCTATACAGGATAATAATAAATGTATAGGAAGCGACCATTCTGCATCTAAAGAGATTTTACTGATGATACAGTTTGTACTCAGTGGTGGAAGGTAACAAATTACATTTGCTTAAGTACAATTCATCAATACTTGCACTTCACTGGGGTATTTTCATTTGTTCCTTCCTTTACCTTCTGCTTTATTATACTTCTGCCCCACAATATTTCAGAGGAAAATATATATATAATTACTTATCTGACAGGTGTAGTTATTAGTAGGGCTACTTTAGACATTTTGGCTAGAATCAGCTCCAGCTCAGCCATCTACAACACCCTGCTTAGCCTATGTATCAGTAATAATAACAATAATTAAATAGTAGCCTGATCCACCTTTTTATATTTTAAGTGCTGATACTTTTTCACCAAATAATTTCCAATGCCTGACTTTTACTTGTAATATATACTTTTACTTGAGTATTTTTTACATTGTGGTATTTTTAGGATCTGAATAGGCCTACTTACCTACATTGGTGATAGTATGACTTATTAAAACACAGGTGTTTAATTGATCTAAAAAGACAATTAAATCAAGTCATTGACTGAGAAAGAAGTCATGCCACTGCAGTGTCAAGTCTCGCAGTCTACTTACACTTGTTGATAGAAGAGGGTGAAGCCCCTCTGACTTAAACGTGCGAGTTAATAAATACTCCGTTTGAATCATCTCAGTTTCCCGGTGTAAAACTTTACCCAGACAGGCGCTAATGTTTGACTGAACCACTGTGACGTTAGTCCCTCAAAAAAGTTCCGGCTGAAGCACAGGAAGTCAAACCACACACACACTCCAGCGCTGGAATTAAAGGGGAAAATGTCGGAATTTGAGCGAAGAAATGTGAGATATTTGAGGAATGTTATCTCCGACAGTGAGTGACAATGATTCAGAGAGACAGCGGTGTGAAATACTGACTCCACATCCACAATGTCCAACAAACTGAAAGTGTACACTCCGATAGAAGACGCAGTTTGAATCTGAACATGAGAGCAACACTTTTAAATAATTATAAAACACTTGTAGGAGCTTACCTGGTGAAACTCTATTAGCAGTCTGTCAGGCAGGCAGGTGGAGCAATATTAGATTTTTTTTAAATAAAGAGTGACTCTGTAAAGGTTTTTCTTTTTTTCTCCCTTGTTTTCTGCTGCCTTGTCTGCTTCCTGAAGCCGTTTGTTTGATGCGAGAGGAGGGCAGGAATTCCAGGAATTAGCAGTGGTATGACATGAAGCTTGGAAAAAGCCAGAGAAAAAGACCAAGGGAGAGAAGGAGGGGAAGAGAGGGGAGAGGAGGGGAGGGAGGCAGGTCTGACCGGTCAACACGTAATGACGAAGGGGAGGAGAGGAGGAGGGCTCCCAAAAGGAAAGGAAAGCAAAGGAAAGGGTGGTGGGGGGTGCAAAGGAAATATACAAATATTGTATTTAAAAATACTTTAAAAGCCTTAGGAGGAAGAACAAACAAACACATGACAACATGAATAGAGCTCAACTCTTCTAATGACTTACAATAGTTGTACACAACAGCATATGTATGTCAAGGATGTTATAGCCTACTAGCCTACTGAGTAAAAGCCAGAATCTTGTGGGAATAAAGTTTATTCAGCTTGTTTTGAAATGAACAATTATCCAACTTGGGCCCAGAATGCTACTAAATGCAAGATGTAGGCGATAGGGTCATGTTATCAAAAATATATATTGGACTAAAGGGTTTGTTGTCTCATGAACAAGTGGAGTTTTCTTTGTATATACCACTTACTTACCCCAGCGGATGATGCCGGTTTTAACTTTTAAACTGAGTATGTTATAGCAGACTAACACATTTATTGTTTTTTTATTCAGGCGTCATGTCATGATATTAATTTGTGTACCCCCTACACTACCTATTATTATATATGATAGAATAACATTAAATTACCTTGTGAACCCTCATAGTAGTTAAAGAGAAGATATATTTATTTAAATGTAAATATAAGCCAAATTAAATATAGATCTTTGAAACATTTGGGGGGCATTTCACTTCTAACAGTCTTTCTATGCACTCCTCTCCTTTGCTTATATTCTCACATATGCAAAAGAAGCAATACTTTTGTTGGACTTGGGCATGTTGTGTAAGTCATTAAAGGCTTGGAAGCCTTATTGTCTGAGATGTAATTCTGAACTTTGGACATGGAGGCAACACGTGGATTATGACACGACCTGGATAACAGAGTCCTCCAGTGGATATTGTTGGTAGTGCTGGTTACAGTGTAACACTTTTCTACTCGTAATGTATGTGACCTGGAATTTTACTAGGCTATCTTCTTTGTTTCAAAAAGTAAGCAGCTACGTGCCAGTGAACCACATTTATTCCAGTAAAAGTTGCTTTTTGCACTCACCAGTTTTTGAGACTAGAAGTTGTGCTCCGATGGAACAACCGCTGTGCTAAAACCTGGTTGCTGACAGCAGGGCTGTATAGTACACCTGCTCCATGCAGATTCATTGTAATGCTATTTAACTAAACTCTAGGGGATGTTTAGTGACATGGAAATGTTCTTGTCTCCATCCCTTGACTTTGTTGTTCAACCATCTTTTTGCTGAGTTCCTTTGACTTCATGGTGCAGGTCTTGCAACAATACTTACCAAAAGTTGTACTTTTGTAGATACAGGTGTATTTGCACTCCAATCAATTAAATCCCCTTTACTACACGCATGATATCTCCATTAAATCACCATGATGTGTCTTCTAAAACCAATTGGCTGCACCATTTATGATTTTGGTCATATTAAAGGGTACATATTCTGTATTTTATATGTGTAAGTAAAACCACGTACACATACATTAAACTGAACCTTTAATGAATCCCCCCCCCTAAAAGAGGGAACAGGATGTGGGCACAGCGCCCCCTGGAGCTGGAGGGGACTGAAGTGTCTTGCTCAAGGAACACAAAGGTTCACTGCTGATTTCACATGTTAAAGTCAACTTAGTAGTCACATTGAGTAATGCTCAATGAGAAAAATTTTGCCACTGGCTTAATAAGTGATAAAACTGTGTAACTTCAACATTCATAAGCAATCAAACAATTGTTCAATTCTACAGATATTAATGTTCACTGAGTCCGTTTACAATGGTAGCAACAGCAAAAGCTATATTAACTCACTTTGAATCAGGAATTTACAATATTGTCTTAAAAAATAATGAAGCATTGGTGTAATTAAAAAATTCAAATTCCTTTATTTATAAAGTTCAATTGCATTCTCAATCAAGGTTAAGGCAAACCTAATTGCTTTTGTGAATCACATTGATACCAATTGGCCTACAATACACAACTTCCTTCAGAATTGAGTCTATCCAAACCATATACTCAAACATAAGTGAGAGATGTATTCACATTGTTTTTTGTTTTTGTTGGTGTTCATTCCTTTTTCAATAAAAGTTAACTTACTTAATACAGTGGCACATTTACCCAACAACCCAAAGTGGTCTATAAACAGTCTGGACTAGACTCTGTTAAATAAAGCCTATTACAAACTACAGGAGATTTCTTTGCACTCATTCGAAGGAAAATTAAAAAAAAAGGATTAGGTTTGTCTAAAAAGAATATAAATTAACTTAAAAGCCTCCTGTTGACGAAGAAGTTGTACTATTTGTATTTATAAAAGCTTCTATAGAAAATACTTGGAATGTTTAGGAAACTATAGTACAAAATGGGGCTGTCAGTGACGCTCCCTCAGGTTTATAGGTGAAGTCAGTAACCAGAAAAGGGAGAACACTGTTCTGAAAAACATTTACACTGTGCTGTGCTATACAGTAATACACTGCAGGGATTGACTGTAATCAGTAAAACATCAAAACCTGGGGAAAAGTCTAATGAAACACTGTTAGCCCTAACTTTCCCCAGATTCCCTCACGTTCACAAACTATGAGTCCAGTTCACTTCAAGAGTCTTCCTTGACACATCTCCATTTCTACATTCTGTGCGTCTTGCTCCTTTTTAACTGCACACCTCATCTTGCTTTTTCATACTTTCACAGATGACATCCTTACTCCAAACATCATTTCTTGGAAAGGAATTTCATCTTGTTTCCTGCAACAGACGTGAATCAAATTAAAAAGAAACATACAAAATGAAGCTTATCATTAGTTCAGGCAATATGCAATAAAGCACTGAAGTCCCTCTCGTGGCAATATGCTTTACAACAATTGGCTCATTCACAGCTGTGTGGCTAGTAACGTCCAATCATATTCATGCAGTTGTAGAGCGTGGACATTATCACATATTACTTATCACTGTTACTCTGTATAGCTGGTGATTGTACTCATGCCCAGCTCCTCCTTTTGTGTAATTTTAAGTTGTAGGTAACTAACTAACTAACTAAGACTGACATTCATGTATGTGTTCATTAATGGGGATTCTGATCAAATATCAGAGACTTTCCCGCCACATCTGGCTATATAACTATTTTCTATAAATGGTAAAAATCTGAGTGAACTGGCAGGTTTTTATAGTCGAGGCTATACAGTGAATCTCACCTAGACCCTTGAGGAATTTGTTGACTCCTCGCTGCTCGCTCCCAGGTAGCGAGTCCAGATACTCTTGTGCTCTCACCTCAAATAGACCTGGAAATAAAAGAACAAGTCGAATGCTTCAAGTACAATGTTTTAAAGATACTCCTTACATGCATGTGGATTAAAACTAATATATATATATATATATATATATATATATATATATATATTTTATTTTTTTTAATTATTTTTATTTAGTATTTATGGGTGTTCAACTAGTATTTCTACTTTATAAAATGTTCTGTAACACTACTGCTAGGTAATCACATCTAAGTACCTAGGACCTGCCTGCGCAGATCCCTCTCCTGGATGAAGCCGGTGAACATCTGGGTCTCCATGAACACCTCCAAGAATCTCCTCAAACTCTTGGAAGTGACTGCTTTGCGAAAGGCCTCACGCTGAAAGGATGAGGAGGAGGAAGAATTGGGACAGGGCATGGTGGAGGAGGAGACACACTCATCCTCTCGCTCTGCTCCACCCATGAAGAGGGAGTAGTGACCCACCATCTCCACGAAGAAACGCACAAAAGCCTCCGACACCACCGTGCTGAGGGAGCTGGAGTCTGGGTGGAGTGAAAAGAAATAAAACAGAAAAGATTAAACTACAGGACAACGCATCCATTATCTGCAAAAGATTGATCAATATCAATGACTCAATTTAGGAAGATAAACTCCCTACTCACTGGAAATTCCCTGATACTCCCAGTCACATACATCCCACTTTTTACACATTATATACAATATCAAGACATTTTATTTAGGCCTTACTCTCAAGCCATAAAATCAAGAGACATACTTTTGAATTGTGATATACTGTAGAACTGCCCCACTGGGCTTTACTGCTTTTCTGTTTTAAAAAGTCTTACTTTAAACACTTTAACTTAAGACATATGAGGGTGTTCTGTGTATGCAAGTATGTATGTATGTATGTATGTATGTATGTGTATATAGCCCAATGTCACAAATCACACATTGTCCTCAGAAGGCTTTACAATCTGTACAACATACGACATACACCCTTTATCCTTAGACCACAGATTTGGATACGAAAACATAGATTATTTTACTTGTCATGTGAAGGTGACTATGATATACTTTTGTGTTGTTTTGTTCAAATTGATTGCATAAAAATACATGTCAAAACTATTGTATTCTCTTTTTTTGATATAATATAAAACATAAAATTAAATCTTGTGCAACTCTGTATGTATAAGTGGCCTCATGTAGTTCCCCATGTAGTGAACACCCTAAAATTGTAAGAGCACTTGAATGCCGCCTAAACCAGGTACTTAAGACAGCTGAAACAACTAAAAAGGCATTTTATTAGGGCCCAAGCACGCTATTGAAACTGAAGGGATTTTTTTTTCTTTCTGCAAAGTAACCTCAATTTTGGGGGCTTAAACATACTTGAAAACTCACCAAACTTTGCACATAATTCAGACGCGGCAAAAAATTTCATATTTTATGGGTTTCGCGCATGGGCGTGGCAAAACGGCTCCCCCCGTGGCACGTTTCACCTACATGTATGAAATTTCTGCGGCACATGTATCATGTCCAGACGTACCAAAAAGCCAATGGTCATTTTTGGCAATTTACACACTTTAACAAACTCCTCCTAGAGATTTAGTCCGGAGTGCTGTGCACTCTAAACCCATTGACGATTAAAAGTTATTCAAACGGTTAATCAAAGTCGACCAGTTTGTCCATGGCGTGTCATCGAAAATTGGTGATTCTCCATGAAACAGGAAGATGAACTTCAGTACACATGCTCACATCTACACCAAATTTGATAAGTAGAACAAAAGTCCTGCTCTGAACACATCCATTCGCCAATATTCAGTCAAAGTCACAGCACCACCTACTGGCAACAGGAAATTACACGTTTTACAATGTAATGTACTTCTCCTTGTAGGTTGGACGTATCAACTTGAGGCCATGATGTTGTGAGTTTTCGGTTAACGGTGTTCAGATTTTCTCAGTCTACTCTAAAGCCAGTGACGATTAAAAGTTGTACAAACGGTGAGTTTTTGTGGAATGGTGTGCCCATAAAACATAAAGTTGCTGTAACTTCAGTCTACATGCTCACATCTGTACCAAATTTGGAATATACCATAAAAGTCCCGCCCTGAACACATCCACATGCCAATATTCATTCAACGTCACAGCGCCACCTGCTGGCAACAGGAAATTACACGTTTTACGCTGTAATGAACTACATTTAGCAGGTTGGACATGTCAACTTCAAAACTGTCCCAGAAAACCTATACCGCATTGATGAAGCCATGTTGTAAAACTCGTGACTTTGCAGTTAACGGTGTGGCGGTGGCAAAGTTAAACTCTTCGCCATGACGCAGGAAGTTGTTGTAACTTGGCTGTACATGCTCACATCTGTACCAGAGTTTACATGTTTTATAAGAGTCCTGCTCTGAACACATGTACAAGACAAGACAAGACAACATTCACCCATAGTCATAGCGCCACTAATGTTCTGGGGAAAAAATCTTGAAAAGAGTGGGAATCATACTGTAGTAGACCATTCCTTACTCTTTCATCATTTTACAGCTCTTTAGTATATTTGGTATTTTTAAAAATATACTTTATAAATACAGTACATCTTAACAGAGAAAGAAAGAAACAGAATACTGTGTTAAGAGCGCTGATTTACCATTGGGCAGATCTCCTTTCTCACAGGCCAGCTCCCTCCTCTTGTCCAGCACATGCTCGAGAGCTGCCTGTAGCTTGTGGGGAAGAATGGAGTCCTCATCATCCAGCTGTGGTGAGAAAGATACAGATGTAAATACTGTCAACATACTTTAGTCAACATACTTTAGTCAAATAACATACTGTATTCACATAACATCTGGCAGAGTCACTACATGTGTAATGAAGTTAAAGGGTGACTCCATGCTGTGTTAGATGGATTTTCAGTGTTTCCCTAATGGTTTCTACCTGTCGTAGGAAGCGACTGTTGCAGAGGTCGACGACCAGGACCTGAGGGGAAAGCAAAGGAAGAGTGATGTCATTTCCTAAAGTCATTGTTCAGTAGAGGAAAGGCCCATAGTCAAAGGCACAACAGTCAGTACATCAAAACAAATAAACTACCTCCTCTATGGGCAGCTCTTTAAGTCGAGGCAGAGAGCTGGAGAGCAGGCCGACTATAAAGGGGGTAGGGGTGCAGACAATATCCAACATAGATGGTGGGAGCACGGGGATGTACGTATGCTGCCAGGTGAAAGGGTAGAGCAGGGCCACCACTGCATGACAACACTGAGACAAAGTGCTGCAGAAAGAGAGAAAGAAAAAGGTTGATAAATATTCATAAAACAATGATAACTAGTTAATAACTATTTTTGGAAGGGTATAATACAGCGTGGTAATCATTCAAGTCTTCAAGGGGAATATCCACCTTCAGCAGATACTTCAATAATGGACATTACTGTTAGTTTATTATTAAAATAATCTCACCGCAACTTCCATTTAGGAGCTATTATGAAGCTTCTGAATGTATCACTGATTGAAACCTCTTTTTGGGGCTTGGAAACAGTCCCAGCAATGAACTTTCATACTCAGCATGTAAGCCAACAATGTATGAGAAAGATACTATTTGAATATCTACAGTTTCATGACAACTGGGAAAACTTCATCTGAAGATGAAGATCAACAGATACAAACAAAAGCTTTAAAACAGCAACTAAAAGAACCTTGTGGTGAGCTTGATTTTTCAACTAATGTTTCTAAGGTCAAGAATACATTTTTAATCTGAATGACATTATTATTATTTATGTTTGTCATAATCTGTTAACTCATACCTCTATATTGTTACATAACTTACCTCTACCTGTGACTATATACACATTCAGTGTACCAGCACCTTGCTGTAAAGCGCACCATTATGTACTCAACTTGCACTACTAATACTGAGTACTAAGGTAATATACTGGGCATTAGTAGTTACCTCTGCCTAAGTTAGTTCCTACATTTCCCAAGTTGACTTTCTACAACAACCCCCAGAAAACAGAGGCGAACTTGCATTTAGCTACGGGTTATGCACAGCAGATCAAGAGAGTGATAGTGATACACAATAGAAAGTAGCTCTTGCTCTTTCTATAAAAGAGAAGTTAAGTTCAACTTAATATCTCAAAGTTATTCACAGAAACAGTAAAAATTACCCCACAAATCTTCCAAAAAGCAAAGCATATAATATCCGTAAAACGTTTATCACATGACTTGTCTTGTTTATCACTTGATGTCTTGTCTCTACCACAAGATGGTGCTAATCAACTCTTTAAGAAAATAACCTTTCCGGCAACACATTTCTTAATATGGAACCTAATGTTAAAAATTCCTGTTGCTCCAACAAAACCTTCGGAATTTTAATAAACATCTCTTAGGGGAGAGTGATGTAACAGTTATAAAAACTATACAGCGGCAACAAATACACTCACCCCACACTGTTAACTTAATCTCTCCCGGGTGTGCATCTGCTCACAGTTAATTCATTAAAAAATTGATTGACGAGGCCAAGTTTCCACTCCACAGTGGAGAATGTGCAATGACTCGCGATCTGCTTATGTGTTATGGTGAAAAACCTTCTTATATTGCCTTTTAAACAATAGTACATGAGCATAAATGGAAGGCACACAAAAAACTGTTGGAAGGACTCACAGAACTACATATTGTATTGCAGTTACATTGCCTGAACCACCGGGTAGGTGTTTGGGTATTTTTTAACTAAATCAGGACATAATGGCTAATTCTGCTAAGCCCACATGTTGAACCAGGTGTACCACAACAGTTAAAGGTTTAAAGTTGACTGTGTTGGTGCGATGACGTCATTATGCACATGTGTTAGCTCTGGAGTTATGCTCTAACTCCTTCTATCTGGCATCCATGACAGTTTTCCAGAGAAGAAGTGATTGTTCCCCAGGCGACTGTATAACACAACAGCATTCCTTCCTCTCACACTTGGTCAGGATCTTCTTTTCCTCAGACTGTTTGTCGACTTGAGGTCTCTCTGTCATATCCTTCAAACTCCTTTGCTCTTGGTCTTTTCTGCATCGTAACCCTTCCTTCAATAATCCAAAAGGATTCATTAAAATACTGAATGACTCCACTCGCCCCATGACTGATGCAGGTTGCAAGGACAGAACATGTGATCTTCAGGTGGGAAAGCAGACTGAACCCACCATACTCTGGAACAATATATTAAGGCAGCCAACCTGAGTTTGTCGGCAGTGAAGATGACCCTGCGCTCTAGAAGTAGAGAGGCAAACACTCGGAGAAGGAGACGTAGACTCAAGGAGGAGAAGAGACATTCAAAGTCCACATGTTCCAGACGAGAATCTGACGGCCTACACAGCTCTATCACCTGTGGGAAAGAGAGAGGGAAGTTGAGATGGACACAAATAAAAAACAAAAGACTATTAGATAGTAATGTACATACTGCACACATAAAGAAACTAATATGATTATGTATATAATCTTTTAAAGTACATGGAGTTTGCTTCCAAGAATGGGGTGAAAAACCAGTGATTAAATGCTGATTTCCACAGTGACACCACCATCATCTCACCTCTGTCCCAGAGCCAGGTAGGAAGTTTTTGACAGTGATGGTCCTTCCTGGAGCAGGGAAGGGAGCTTCCATTATACCTCTCATAAAAGGCTGCACCAGAGCAGGGGATATAGCCCTCCTCTTTTCCACTTCATCGAGGATCTAGAAAACACAGAGAAGGATGCTCTGGAATTTCAAAACTGAAATTATTATCACAAATATATATATATATATATATGAGTATACTGTAGACATTAGGAGCCCCAGCTCTCACATAATCTTTTCAATAGGTTAGACCTTTTGTGTAATTTAAATATTTGGATTTTAAGGTTTGTTTGGGCCATATGATAATATATATATTGGATAAGATTTCACTTTATCATGTGTCAGATATTTTGCCATATAATTTATACCCTGGGAGCTATACCTTTCTCTGGGTGCGTTAGACCACTGTAGACAGTGTTGCAAATCAAAGACCAGGGCTGCTTTATGGCTATTATTAGATATTTTTATTATTGTAGCATGAATGCGATGAAGACCATTAATCTGTCACATATATAAGTTATTAAATTAGCCGAAAACAGACATTTCTGTCTTGTTATTTCACCCACGAACAGTTTCTCAAATGATTCTGTATATAAATGCACTCTTTTAAATATGTCATTATAATCTTGTCAAAATGACATCCTTCCACAATCCTTACTGGAAGCCTGTTTACGCTGCTACCAAAACCAGGGAAACCCTGCAACAAATCAGAAAATCTAAGGCTAATAAGTCTTCTTAATTTTGACGTAAAGGAGTTATGTAAAGTCCTCACTAAAAGGCTTTCTTCTAGGGATAGTTAAGAAAGATGAAAATGTTTTTTTAAGGTTTGCCAAGGATATCACATTGTCAGTGGGGTGCTGAACATACAAGATGGGCTACTGCTACTGTTATTCTATCGTAAGATGCAGAGAAAGCATCTAAAAGGGTAGAATACTTTTCTTTGATGTCCTTGAAAGCTTTGGATGTGGGGAAAACTTGTATACAACTGTTATATACTGACCCCAGTGCAGAAATACTTAATAATAAAATATCAAAACCAATTAAGATCTGTAAAGGGTGCTGTTAAGGGTGGCCGTTATCTCCACTTTTGTATACAATAGCAACAGAACCTTTTGCTATAGCTGTACTGTCCCATTTAGAGATCTCTGGTATAATTATCAGACAAATCACCCTACTGCTTTATATGCTGATGACATCATCATTTTTCTCAGAGAAGTCCATTCCAGCCTTGTTAGAAGTGAAACAAAAACTGGTATTTTTTCAGGCTACACAAGTAATAATTCCAAATCTTCCACAATGCTACTAAAATTCCAAAAGGAGAGGTAATCCGACTGTACAAGCTCCTCATTTTAAAGTCAAATCATTTTACATATTTGGATGTAAACATACTACCCAATATAAAATATGTGGTGAACTCTAATTATGATCCTATTATGGGATCAATTATCAGCTCAATTACTGGATAGAAATCTCTACCAATCTCCTTAATTGAAAGAATCAATATTTAGAAGAAAAAATATACTGCCCAAATTTTAAATTTATTCGAGAACATCCCATTGCCTCCTCCTTCAAATCTATTTCAAAGTTAAATAAATTAAACACTCACAACACAATTTTATTTTTATTCTTACAACTCAGAAGCTTAAATTAAACAAACAATAAACAGTCGCTATCTATATCTCCCTATTCACCATTAAAGTACAGGAACAGGATTTTATGACTTACTGGGTCCCCTGAGTCTTCCGAAGCTAAACTTTTGTTTAGAGAGAGGGTTTACAGAAAGACATTTCATTTGATAAGTGGAAAGATGCTATCAAGCTAGCTCAAACACAAACAGCAAATACCTATCTTAATTTTTTTACAATATAATTGGCTGATATTATATAACTCCAGAAAAGTGAAATAAATCAAATAGTAATGTCCAACATTTGTGTTAAATGTGGACAAGCTAATGCAGAAGTTTTCCACTGTGTTGTGATGTAATAAGATAAAAGAGTTCTGGGAAGAGGAACAAAACATGACGGAAGATATTTTATCAAGACAATTAACTATAGAGCACAATCTTTTCTTCTTAGGTTGTTATCCAAAAGAAAATAATAAAAAAGAAGAACGAGATGATCCTTTTGGATCTATGTTTGTTATAGGCAAAACGGATGATGGCACTATCATGGAAAAATGTAAATAGACTAAGTATTGATAAATGGCTAAAGTAACTGTCTACATGTCTATCTTTAGAATAAAATACCCATTATATTAAGCGAAAACAAGAGCTATTTAAAAATATATGGGGTCCTTTTATTAATTATCTTGAACATACAGACTTGGAAAGTAGTGTGAATTTGGAGATGATTGATAGGCCCCTCTGCTAGGAGCAGGATAGAAGCCTTGCATGCCTTGCTTTATGTTAGGGTGCCCTTGAAAAATAAATTATATCTCAATGGGCCTTTTCTCCTGGTTAAATAAATGTTAAATAAAATACAATAAACATGTTGACTGTCAATATAAAAAATGGTTTACAGCCTGAATCCATCATGTGTAACCCTCAGCACACATATCGACACAACTGTATAGTATTAGTGTAGCTGATCTGATACAGATGAAACATATTCAGAATATCGTCAGCACTGAGTACATCCAAAGCAGAGTTAGCAATCAATCTATTTGCCATCTCCTGTAGCAGCAGTTATACTGTATTACCCTTCTATGTGAGTATCCTTATAAACTCAATTTTAGCAATGACATAAGTACAGATAGTCAACATGCATATCTATATATATATATATATATATCTCCAAGGCTCAATACTGCAGTAACCACATCACCTGCAGTTCACATGTGTTTTTGCACTGGAACCAGGACTACAAGGCTCTGTGGGAAAGTTTATATGCTTAGTTTACCATATCTACCTTGGAAAAGAGGTCGAAGCAGCCCAGGCGGCTGATGATGCAGTAGACCTCGGGGAGCCTGCGGCCTTTACCACTGGGCTGTGAACAGCCAGCAAGAAAAAGACAGCTTCAAAACACTGTAGTGTCACAAGACCGCTCACCCAAGTACAGGATTACATCTGTAGAGCAAAGCAACAGCTTTGTTTCGATGAGACTTTGAAGGTACATTCAGGAACAATTACTGAAAACTTGCATGGTAAAACAATACAACAATAAAAGAAAATTGGATGATTATGTTTATGATGAGAGATTGTCTATATTGAAACCAAATTAGGAGAAGCTAGTGACAAGGCTTAGAAGCATTTTAAGAGCATACCAGTAATCGCCGACAGTAGCCAAACCGCCTGCTTCCATCCTCACCAGTCAGGACAAATGAGAAAGTCTCACTAGGGATAAAAAAATAGAGAGAGATACAAAACATAATTCAGGCAGGCTGAAAAAAAATTAAAGCTCTTTAAATCACACAGAAAAGACTGTTGTGGAAACAGAAAGCTCAATTCTGAACTGGACTTTATGCTTAGGTAAACAAAGATATGAGCAGGAATACCCTCAGGACAGGCTTAGTCTACAAATATCCACAAAATACCCTCCTAAGCTCTACCTGACAGGTATTCATTGACCATTGAAGATGTTCTTGACAGGCAAGAGTGCATGCCAGTTCAATGCAGGTGTGTGTTTGGTGGCCCCTCACCCTTCAAGCATTTGCCTCCAGGTAATTATTAGCCATAACCATCAGGACACACATCATCACTTCTCAGAACAATGCAGACGTTGAGAAGCTAAGCTAGGAGGTATTGGGTAATAGGGCCAATTTTAAACAGCACAGTAAGAGAGGTGATGTTGTAATAACAATCTAGGTGTAAGGTGCTAAATTCACCAACTCTCCCTGTAATCATTTGTCACTGTCAATACCTTATTGTTAAAGAAAGAACTGTCATCTTTACTAGTCACAAGGTAATTTCTATTTTGGGCTTTCAGTTTCTCCTCTAACAAGTGGTTATTAGCAAGGAAAACAGCTGAGCTATTACCACTCTGCCGGGAAATTCCTGTGTCTCTGTTTTGTTTCACTTTTTTATGTCTAAAGTTCCATGGCAGCAAGTGGGACACGGACTGACCTGGGGAAGTTGTCGACAGGCGCCCAGTCTTTGGCGTCTGGGAAACAGAACTGAGGGATGACTTTCAGCTGGTCCTCAGCCTCTCGCATGAACTTAAAGCTCCTCTCAAGCTGGAAGAAAAAAGAGAGAAAATGTGAAAACAAATATATTTAATGATGCCTGAAGGATAACACCATTAGAGGTGGAGTAAGTGATTCTGGAAAAATCCAACACCATGACAAATACCATGAACCATGACACAGCAAGTAATGTAACTAACATTACCTAAGTTGTGGGTAAGCATAGTGTAGTGATGGGAAAAGTCACTCTTTTGAAAGACTGAAGTCACCAAATCTCGTTCATTAAAATGAACTAATCTTTTTTTTGTGTCATTTCGTTCATCTTAACTAGGCAGGTTATTGCGGCGCTGCAGCTCTCTAGTGGGCGATTTAAAAAAAAAAAAACAGCGCAGTTCTCAAACACAGAAGGCTGCCTGGCTTGCTCTAATTGACAAAGTATAATGCACAAATTCACCTCTTGATCTTTCTCTATCATGGTTCTACAAAGCCCCATGGAGCCACAACCAAATTCAAACCATGTAAAAACCACAGAAATATGTTGTCAATATTCAATTAAGCCACTACCTCGGCTAAATCCATCCATTTTCACAATCTTTCCTGAGTATACAACCAGCCATATAATTATAATTACTATCACAATATCTCTAAAGTGCTCATTCATACAGTAGCCTAACGCCTATCCATGAGTAAAATCTATATATTAACATCAGATTTACAGGGAATATATTGAAGTAATAAGCTTGACACACTAGATGAATAAAACACACAATTTAACAAATTTAATAATAATCTCAAACACTGCAGGTTGTTCACCAGTCATGAGCTGTGAAACAACAGCACGGCTCTGTCGATAAATAAAAAGTAAAAGTTAAGTTGCGTTCTCTAACTTAGCACAACATAACTGCGCTGTAATAACGTTATGCTTTATTAAATGTCACAAAATTATCAAAATAGATATTAGATATATGTCAGTCCAGTGACTGTTACCTTACAACCGCCTCTCATTCCCAGCCGCTGGCAGTAACTCAGCCTGCCGAGTGAAGACAGACTCCGAGGAGGACCCATGTGAACGCTGAACGATTAGTTCATTCCTGCTCCACAGCAGCGAGATGTCATGTGACAAACGAACGACTCAAACCCAGAGACCCACAGTTATGAGTCCTGAACTAATCAATTATGTTTCCTGTGCTGACGGAGACCTTGCAGCTGCTGTGTAACAAGTGAACCTAAGAGTCCAAGACTATTCACGCATGTTTGAAAATGAACGAGTTACTCACTGAGACAACCCGTTCCTCCTGAGTCACATATACGATTAGGTCAAATGAACGAAACGTTCTTGGTACGACACAACACTAGCATAGTGCTGTCGCAGTTGCTGCTGCGAAATTAACATGCAGAGAGGATGAGATGGTCCCAGAGCCAGCACACCAGCTCCAAACAGCTATACTCAAAACTTTCCTGCTACCAAAGCTAACATCACAACAACGTCAGGTCTTGGGAAACGATCATTTAACGTTAGCTGAAACACAAATCATGGTTGGTACAGTGTTGTGTGGCGGGTACGGGCCACTTTGTTTGTTTCCCATTTACAAAGCCATAGCTGTACAAAAACTGGATTGTTTTGCAGCGGGGGTGTACAGAACTGACAGCTAGAGGACCACTAGGAGTTATTGCTGAATTTAACCACAAAATGTACCTTACCCCACCTTTAAAGTCTTAGACCATCATGTTTCACACAGACTCACAAACACGCGCGCGCACACACACAGCTTCCATTAATTTGCTAAACACTAATATGGAACTGACGTAAATCTGAAACCGACAATTCTGCTATCTGCACACTGGAAGAAATAAATAATGAACCACATTTTATAACCACTAAAAGCGAACTTCTTCTAGTGCCATTACCTGAACAGAATTTTAGATTTGTGTTAGCCTCTTACTAAATCTCATTAGTCACATCATAAAGCTACAGTGCCACTATTTTAAGTAAGTAAAATAAAGTAGCCAAAGGCCTCAATAAGATAATAAGATAAAGTTCTTGAAGAAGAGTCTTGACATTGTTAACATCACACGATTGAGGGGTTTTGCGCATACAAGGCTAAATCACTGTACAGTCACTGTAACATTTAGACAGTATACAGTCTATGGCAGTAAAGCAGGATCACTGAATTTACTAGTCTTTTTCTATTTTATTCCCCAGAAAGTCCATCCCTGGTTCTCATTAACTGGCATATACAAGTAAAGTTATTAGTATTCATCAGGTAGAAAAGCTAAGTGTCTCATTTTGGAATAAAGTGCTTCAGTAACATTTCTATCCCCTTTTACCTTGAGAGGGAACTGCTGTGTGACTTCTGGCAGGTACGGGACTCCAGCTTTGGTCTTGTGGAGTGCAACAACAATGAAATACTCAAAGAGTTTCCTCTCCTGCAAATCCATCAGATCCCTCTCCATGGTCCGGTACCGTCCTGTCTGCCTCAGCATGGACTGGACTGACACCAGTCGCTGGCTGTGAGCTGAGTGACAGAGAAACACATTTCATGCAAATACATCCATGTCATGTATGCACATACATTCACAGAGGGTCACTGGGAGGTCACCATGTAAGGCAATCAGCAGTTCCATCTGTGTATATTTTTGATGTTAGCTATACAGTGGAACAATGAAAAGAAACAAAACTATGATCTGAATCAGTTTTTGTACACATGCTCCTATTGTGCTCATTTGTAACTTATTGAAATTACGGAGATACAAAACTATTTTATACTTATACTGATATAGTTCCCCCATGTAGCCACTGTATGTGTACTGTCAGTATTTATTTCTTTATTCTCACCTTTCAATTTCTCCTCCGTGTCACTTTCCGACTCACTGTTCTCATCTGTCACCAAATTAAAGAGAAGAAAGAGTGAAAAAGAAAAACATGTGTGAGGAGACTGCTAATGACAATCACATGAAACCCAAAGCACGTGGAATTTGCTATTGTTGCTTTCATTGCAGCTAGTATCACACAACACCACCCAGTCCACTAAAATGGGTCAGTCTCAACTGATCCTAGAATGTAACATTTCCCATGAAGCTAAGTGAATACATATGATGAGGTGTTGTTTTGGTATGGAGATACAACTGTAAAGACATCAGAGTCGTAGGAAAGGTAAACTGATGAAAAGTGTCTGCAGTTGGTAAAGTGTTGATAATATTAATGATCTTTGAATTTATTGATAATTACAATGAAAAAAAGCTGTGTAATAAAAAAGAAATTTCTCCATTTGTCAAATTTCATGACCATTTCATTTCAATTTCAAACCAAATAAACAGACCAGTTACCAGGAAATACAATAGATTTAATAAAACCTAATAATAAAACCTAGAATATCTAGAATGTCATGTCTTGCTAATTTACAGTGGTCTTGCTGACGTGCATCATTTAGGATTGTCCTTTGATTAAGTGATTTATTGTTTTATTTTTTATTTTCACTTTTTATTGTTTTATTATTCATTTTCATTTTTTAGCAGGGCAGGACTGAGCTGCCTTAATAATATACTCTTGATATATGTGTTAGTTTGTGTGTTAATACTGCAGTAGTCTGCCAGACTAGTATCTTTTTTTGTTTTTTACTGTACATGGGTTCCCAAAACAGTTTTTTATTCCAGGAAGTGCAGTAGCACGTGGCATACTTGTGAAAAGGTTAGAGAAGATGGCCTTGCATGGTAAGAAAACTTTTAAAATAACTCTTGGATCGAAAGCACAATCTGAACCTGGATCTGTTTTCACACCAGGAACTAATCACTTGTTCCTTGGCCCATACCCTAACTTTCCACCAAATTTTATTGAAATCAGTTAACAAGTGTTTGAGACATCCTGCTAACTAACAGGCAAAGAAAAACACAACCTCCTTGATGGAGGCATTGAAGAGGAGGACATGATTTTTCACAGTTGATGTGAAGATAATGAAAGACTTGTGGACTTGCTTTTTTTGTTTTCATATGAAGCCTCACCTCTCCCTGAGCTGGACTCTGTAGACTGAGACACCCTCTTCATACGTTTCTTCCCTCTCCGCGCCTCGAAGATGCCATTGATTTTCAGCACCATCTGCAGGAGGTAAAGGGAAAGAAATGTCCATCTTTAACTCCTTAAACTAATAAACTGAATCTGGCAGCTTCCTACAAAGATCATTTCAATACAGCTTCTGGGAGGCCTTCCGCCAGGCACACTTCTCACAGGAAATATCTGTAAGAAAATGTTCCCCTATCTTACTCATCCCCAGACAACAGCATGCGTGGACCAGCTCCGAACCTCCCTGAGCAGTACACTGGGCCATAAATCAGAGAGAGCAGCATGAGCTTTGTGAGAGGCCTCTCAGACTCCAATACCTTGGGGATTTTCCTCCGTCTGCGATTGTATGGGTCTCCAGAGAGGCAGGGGGTGTCGTCAGGGCTGCTGGGTGTGGAGGGGGGGCTGATACGGGAGGGAGAGGAGATGCCAGTGTCCCTGCTGGTCTTGCGTAGTTCAAGGAGCTTGAAGCTTCGTCGTTCCGAGTTTTGTCGGAAGAAGCCGGGCTTGGAGCAGAGCTGTGGGGGTGCAGATGGAGCAAAACAGACACATTGGAAGATGATTTTTCGTGTAGAACTGTTTAGGTTAAATCTACTTTGTTTCTATAGGGATGTAATTGTGATCAGGTACCTTAGTTGGCGTATCAGGGACAGGAGATGAGGAGGCAGGTGAAACACATTTGCTTCCCAAACAACTTCTCTCAAGCTCTATATCTTCATATGGGTTCTCCTTGGATGGAGGATCTTCAAAAATAAGAAATCATTGTCACCTGGATTACACAACAGCCTCACACAATCTTTCCAAAGAGCAGATAAAGTACTATTTCCATATCAGTCAAGTTTGTTTTGCCAGACGATTCCTACTCCAGATGTGCAGAGAGCTACCAGAGGCAGCAGTGTGCTTACCCAGCTCATATTTCACTGTGATAAGATGCTTGCACAGCTAATGCTAAATGTCAATCTAGCTACCAGTCCTCCCCTGCAGATAAGGAGAGAGGAAGTTTCATTTTCCAAAACCTGTGCCTCTTTCTCTCTTTGTCTCTGTCTCTTTCTGTATCTCTCCTCTGCTCTATCAATTCATCAACCAGATGTGACCTGTAGGAGTCAGAGGATAAAGAGGGACATTCAGTTCCCTACTCCTTCTCCCTCTGAAAACCTCAGCATACTATTTTTCACATTGCTGGCCGATGAGAACGTCACACATGGTGTGTTTGTGTGTCAGCTGTGTACATGTGAGTTTGCATCAAGTCATCAGGGCGTGCGTCAGTACACATGTAGCAATGACAGTTGATTTCCTCTCAATCAGAAAACACTACCAGACATGTGGATTGTGTTTTTAAAGTGTCTTGATGAGAACCTGATTTGCGTGTGGAGGTTGATGACAAGACTATGAGGACACCACAACTGTTCATCACTGTCCACACTATCTATAGCTCTGCATTCCTGAGCTGCTTCTTGAACAGACAGCTAGAGTCTGAGTTACTTTACCCATGGGACACTGCTGAGAGAGTTTGATTAACTATGTCTGAGCGTTTTAAAGAACAATACTACCTTATGAAAGGAGTAAACTGTAAAATAATCCAAAATAAGCTTTGGCATCACTTAAATATAATTATTAAACTTAATGTGGTTGTTGCAAGCAAGAAGCAAGCATTATACACTGGTCTTTGGGTTGAAAACCGAAGCCACATAGAAGTGATTGCCAGTAATGAGCTGTGGCTCTAAGCCATTCACATACCCCCCGCTGCACTGACAATCACAGTAGACAACCTCAGCTACGACCTCACACAATGCCACTATTGTACGTTCTGAAATTAAACAGGCTCTAGGTGGGGTTGGCATAACACTGCAGATAATAATGTAGGAACGTAGGTTTCTACGTATAACTTTTAATAAAAGTGAAGCAGCATGGCTCTAAATTAAAACTGGAGCAGAAAAAACAGTAGAGAAAGGACAGCTTGGCCTCCTCATCACCTCCGCTGCTAAACTCTATGACACACTAATGTAAGGGTCATGCAGTGCATGAAGTGTATAGAAAATAGGAGAACCTACAACTTATAGTACAGTATTTAGCAATGGTTTACAGTTTTCAAATACAAATCCATTTATAACTGACAAGGTTCATAACGTAACCACATGTCAGAAATATGATTTTGGACAGATGTAGCAGTTTATAGATGATTCCACTTGGTTAAGGAAAATTTAAGGCGTCATATGTATTGTTTTACCTATTATGTCCTCGTAGACATTCTCTTCTGATAAAGTGCGTGTTAAGCCCAGTCTGGACTGAGCGTACCAGTCCACCCTGCAGCTTTCTGTAGACGACTGGAGGAGATCTTCAAATTCATAGGACTTCCTGGTGGACAGAGCATTACAAAGATTTAGGAGAAGTTGCCCGCCAAATACAAAAGAAGACAAGGTAGGAAGATTTTTGACAGATGTTTCTGAGTGAGCTTGTGCTCATGATGATGCTTTTAAAACTAATTGATATGCCAGGCTGGAAAACTGATGTTACCATTTTCAAGGTGCCACATCTGAATGACCACATTTGTGTTTCATCACTGCCAAAGATTATAACCCAGTAGAATGAAGTGCACACAAGCATCTGTGGTTGCATGCATCCCCACCTGCATGTACATGTACAGTTTTCTACATCCAATGCAATATAATGCAAAAGCCCTGCAATGAATCCTACCCTGTTCTGAAGCTGATCATTTTCAATTTTCTTCTCTGTGGTGCAGTATATGATTTTAATACTGTTGGCCTTTCATCTTATTTTGCTTGTTTTTAACTTGAACATTAACTTTCCTAGTATTTGCATATGAATACTAGCCATTTGACCAAATATGGCACGTGTACATCATACTGGTGTCAACTATTGTGAATTTATCCTGATATATAAAGTAAAGTTATGCAAAATAAATGACCACAGTGTAGAATCAACACCTTTCTGTCAGAGTTTTAACAAAAACTGAACATTTTAAGCTTTACAAATGTAGGATTTATTGCGCAGCTGTTGCATGGCATTTGATAAATCTAAGTGTACCTAACAAACTGGCAACTCAGAGAGACAGTCTGGCCAAACAAAGGGCTTGACACACCACACTGGAGCAGAGTGAGGCCTCCACATATGGTATGGAATGTAAGAGATCCAACTCAAGCTCCAAACAAGAATTCAGACCACTGAAGAAAGTGAACAATAGATGAACTCCAATCCTGCAGAGTTCAAATTTTTTTGGTTTCCTTACAGAGCTGTGTTTGTTTGATTGTAACCATCTGAATGTGAGCGCTACTTAAGACTCAATTTCCAACATTTTGGCAAAATAAGTGATTCAGATTCTGGATCAGACTTTACACTTTACAAGTAGACACATTTTTACATCTAGAAATTCTAACTCTGCTAAACGAATGCCTGACAACCTCATTTGTGATAGCCAAGGGCCTTGTGCAATAATTTTTACTGTTAAGGCTAAAATTCTTGATAAAGCAAGGGGCCTCTTTGACATGACTCATACCACTCTGCATGATTTTCTCCTCTTCCACTAGAGTTTTGGAACGAGAATGAGTTGAGTTGATGTGTACATTCCTCAGATCCAACCAATGACCTCATTCTTTGGGAAATTTAGAAACAGGATGATGTCACCGGTGGTTTTGATTTACAGCAGATGTGGGAGATGTTGTTCACCTCAGTGTTTGGTTGGTGGAAGGCTTATGGAATACGCACAAGAGCACTTTAAAGATTTTTTTTAGCTTTAGGGTTAAGACGAGACAACATGGCTGGATTGAGTAACATTTACTTATCATGTCTTTTTAGCCATGCTAGCAGCAAAGCTAGGGACGGCAATACTGGCTTGTAGGTTGGTCTGTCTGCCACTGGTCCTGACTAAAATATCAACAACAAACAAACATTGCTTGGATTGCTATGAAATTCGGTACAGCCATCCGTGGTCCCCAGAGGAATAACCTTAATGACTTTAGACTTTTCCTCTGGTGCTACAATGAGGTTGATAATTGTGTCTTCGCAACTATTGGATGTATTGCCATAAAATTGTTCCCAACATTCATGTTCCCCTCAAAATGAATAGTAATAACTGTTTTGATCCCTTGATTTTTCAGGTTATACTTTTATTTCTCCAATACCCACAAAACTATTGCTTCAGCTGTAGTTGTCTTTAGTACTAGTTAGCACATTAACCATACCTGCCCAACCTCAACATACAACATACATACAGTGACAAGAGCTTCAGTAAAGCTTTACTAAATGTCTTATTGTCTAGGATGGATGTCTGCCATAGGAATGATCCTCAAAACGAATCAAGGTTGCCCATATTACTAATTCTGTCTTCTTATTCCCTTACCTGTTACTGCTGTCCCGGGGTTTGTCAGCCCAGGGTCTCCTGCAAACCCCAGGTGGTGGGCATGTGGGTAAAGGTGGAGGAGGAATGGAGGGCAAAGGGGGCAAGTTCCTCCTTCCTTTCAACAAGCTAAGCCCTAAAGCTGGGGTAGTAGGGGGGGTGTGGTGCTGGAAGGTTCTCTGAGGTTTAGGTAGAGGGTTTATAGACGGAGCACCTGGCTCACTGTACACGTTCTCTGGATCCCCCTCCCTCCTCCTCCGCAACCCGCTAGGCCGAGCCACATCAAAAGTCCCAAAAATGGGCTCGTTGGCCTTCTTTTCTGTTTCATCCAGCTCCTCCTTTGAAGGAGGGCAAAAGTAATTCCCTGGAAATGCCAGTGAAGGTCTGTCAGGAAGCTCCTTTGTTGCCTTCTCTAGTTTCTTAACATGAATTAATACACTTTTCTTGTCATGGGGTGGTTCTGCTGGCTTGGTAGCCCGAAAACCCCTCTCTAGGATCACTTCTCTTTCCTTGTTTGCTGGGCCTTCTGGAGATTGAGGCCTTGGATCCCCCATCTTTCCACCATTCTCCTTCCCTGAGTCTTGTCTGTCCCAGCTGACAAACCTCTTGCTATCTGTCCTTTGGACCTCTGAAGCTTTGGATTCCTTTTTCCTTACCGTCTCAACTTCCTTCTGCGTTATACTCAATGGACATGTCCCTGTAGAAGTTACTCCAGGCTCCTTTTTTCCCTCCCATTGTGAGATCTTATCGCGGATGCTGGCTGTCTTGACTCCCGCTGGACTCTTCTTGTGGTTCAGTTTGCCACACAGCCCATTCTCCATGCTGGGAGTCCGAGGGTCAGTGGTGGTGTTGGCTCTCCTGTGAGCAAGCATTGTGTCAAGAGGACCCAGGTTGTCACTTGTGCTGAGTAGGGGGGGGAGGGGACGCTTGTAGGACACAGTGGCGTCCCTCCTGTCTGTGTCCCCTGGTGACCCGCACACCTCTTGGCGCTGGGGCACTGCAGACGATGGAGCCTCCCCAACCTTCAAGCCACAGCACTGAAGCCTAGAAAAGAATCACACACATAAAAATGAATATGAACATACTTGTTTAACTTTTAAAGGGGTTGCAAACACACCTGGGGTAAGCAATGTTGGAGAACTAGCAAAAGACAGCTAGATTTTGAAATATCCAATCTAAAAAATAAAGAAACTCCATCCCCTCCCTTCAGGACTCTCTTCAAAGTGACCCCCAGACACTCTATTTTTTATTTTCTGATTTATTGATTGCTCTCAGGCTGAGAGCCAAATTGGTTTTATAATCCAATGCAAATGACGCTTGACATTATTATTTATAATTGGTGAGAAAATATATAATATGATCAACCTAAAATAAGATTTTGAAGCTTTCTTGAATTGCCCATTTTGCAGTATTTCAAGATTAACAGGCTGGATGGTCACCTGTCAATCACGAGATGGACTGTGGGAGGAAACAAAAGGGAAACACAAACAAACAGGAAACAAATGCAAAGAGTCTTCTCTCTGTAAGAGGACAGTGAATAGTCTGTACTTAATTCAAACCAGACAAACTGAGGGAGAAAATACATTGCACTGTTGTCATCTCTAATAATTTATAGTGCAATTATTTTCATAGAGATGTCAGTTGCTGCCTTCAGTGTAAATATTGAAGCATCATGCTCCCCATTGCTCTTAAAATTGGCCACACAATGGCCTCACAATTACGTCCAAATAGATATTTCTTTTATGGGTAAACAAGAATTCTTGTTAAAAGCGCTCAGACGTCTGTTTGGTGCCTCTGTTTTAGCTGTGAGTCACTCGTGGAAGATTACTGGGTCATGACTGTTTGAACTCTGGGTTTGGGGGTCAAAGTTTACAAGCTACACACACAGCTATTTCTGGAGAGGAGATGAAAGTATACACAGAAGAGGGGAGAGGCCGACGTGTAGACGTGCATCTTTCTACCACCGACCCTCGAAACTCAGTTTTGGCCCAAAGTCCATTCATCAAGTGATTGCATTTCCAACAAACAGAGGAAATGCGGCCTCTCTGGGTGACTTCTGATGACATTGCTGGATGTGAAAACCAACAGTCATGCAATCCAGAGGAAATCTCTGGGGAAAATTACAGATTCAAGTTTCCTAAGAGACCTTAAAAGAAAAAAAAAATACAACTTGATGTTGTAACTATGACCAACAAGGAAACCAAATAATTGGGTTTTATTAGTTTGGGCCCCCTATCCCTCTCCCTCCCCTGTTCTTTTTCTTTTCGTGTCCCTCGGCTGAAACAGCAGTTTTTATTAACAATGAAGCAACAGAGGGGAAAAACTAGGTCAAATAGAAAAGCCAAGTAAAGGAGAACAGGAGTGGGCATGGGGGTCGAGTGAAGGAGTTACTGAAAAAGTGGAGCAGATGGAGAAGGAAATTAATAGTCTACTTCCCCCATCTCAAAAAATACTTGTTTGTGATTAGAGAGAAAGCGAGATTGAGAGCTAGATTTAGTAAATGGTCAATATGGAAAGCGTATCTATCCCCCACAGCCAAGGATGGGTGGAGCATGAAGATGAGGGTCATTGAGGGCGGAAGGAGGGAAGGAGGTACAAGGGCACAATAGCTGACCAGCTGAGCTAACACATTATCAGCAGATAAGAGAAAGGGTTTAAAATGGGCATGAAGAAATAAAAGATAGACAAAACTAACTAACTTTTATTGATATCAACTTGTGACAATTCCCCACAAGAATTGTATTGAGCTTTTGAGGAATGATAACTTCAGTAACATGGCAGACTGTCAAAACAACAGAAATTTAAATCTTCCACTAGACAATCCCTTTTGTTGGCACAAACCAAAATCCATTCATAATAATCTAAATAGCACTAATGAATATTGCAAGGATGACAGAAGGGAACGCAGAGAGTGGTCATAGAAGCATTAGACAGTTACAGCATGAGGGCAGTAACAGCATCCAGATGCCAGATGGTCAACTCTGCACTGCTCTGCTCTCTAGCCCTGCTTTTGTTATACTGCTGACCCTAATGGAAAGGGGTGTCCCCTGCTTGCTTCAGAGCAGTACAGAACTTTATGAATGTTTTGGGGAATGCGCAGTTTAGGTCCAAGCAGCATGTTGTGGAGAATGTAAATAGGTATTTAATTAGATGGCAGAGCAAAGGGAACTACTATACAGGCTCACAGCTTTTGTCACATCCTGCAGCCGAGGATCTACTAGTTTCAGAGGTATTTTTCCCCACTGCAAAGTTTGAATTGAAAGTTAAAGCTAGAGTGCGGGACCTTTACGTTTATACAGTATTATTGTTCTTTACATTCAAGCTCTTGCCAAATAAGTTCGGACAATGCTGAATAAGCCTATCACCGCCAGGTAAATCTCTCTATATTTTACAGTATAACAGAGTTTTTAAATCTCTGTGGTAACATACCCACACAAGCGAACTGGTAGTGATTTGTTTTATGCCAACCAGCAATTATTGGTTTGCCAGAGCTGAAGCACGGAGCGACCGTAGAAACAGCAGCAACTCGTTATGGCTAAGCCTGTACGTCATAAGCACATGTCAACTGTGTTGTGTAATTACTCTCACTGTCAGAATATAATAATAATAATAATCTTTATTTGTAGAGCACTTTTCAAAAACAAGTTACAAAGTGCTTTAACAAGTGTAAAGACAATAATACCCAAAAGACAATAATACAAATACAATACAAGATAAAAGCAAGAAAACATTGAAAAGACTAAAATACACATTTAAGATAAATATAAAATAAGTAAAATAGAATAAAATTAAAGGGATAAAATAAAGTCAAATAAAATCGGGAAAGGCTCTCCTATAAAAGTATGTTTTAAGAAGGGACTTAAAAGAGTTCACTGACTCAGCCAACCTGATTTCCTCGGGCAGGCTGTTCCAGAGCCTCGGGCCCTGACAGCAAACGCTGCCCTTTAGTTTTCAGTCGAGACTCTGGAGCAGACAACAGACCTCTGCCCGAGGATCTCAAGGTACGTGCTGGTGTGTATGGGACTAAAAGGTCAGAAATTTAACAAGGCGAGAGGCCATGAAGAGCTTTAAAAGTGATCAATAAAATTTTAAAGTCAATTCTAAAACATACAGGGAGCCAGTGTAATGAAGCTAAAATAGGGGTGATGAGGTCATATTTCTTTGTTCTGGTTAAAAGCCTGGCAGCTGAGTTCTGGACAGTCTGGAGTCAATCAGTAGATTTTTGGGTTAAACAAGTGAAAAGAATGTTGCAATAATCCAGGCGTGATGAGATGAAGGCGTGTAAAATGGTCTCGGTGTCCTTAAAAGTTAACATAGATCGAATTTTTGCTATATTTCTAAGTTGATAAAAACAGGATTGAAGTTTTGTGGTGTGCTGCTCAAAATTTAAATTACTATCAAACCAAACACCAAGGTTCTTTGCAACAGGCTTAATGTGATTTACTAGGGAACCAGCAGATGGCAGTATTTGTTTTGCCATCTGCCGGGACCCCATGACCAGGATTTCTGTTTTGTCTGAGTTCAGCTGGAGGAAATGATCTGATATCCATTTTTTAACTTCACAAAGGCAGTTGTGAAGTGAACTCAGCATTCCAGGGTCTGTGGATCTGACGGGCAAGTACATTTGTGTGTCATCAGCATAAATATGAAAAGAAATACCATGGCTGTTTCTCAATCTGCGTTCTTTTCTGTACTTGTGTTCTTGTGGACTTGTGAAACGTCATCAGTCGCAGCCAAAGTCCTGTTCCAATTCAAAAGTCTGCATCTAGCCAAGTACAGTCAAACACCCGGATGTGTTTTCGCTCCGCCCGTTTTACCGAGCCTGCATCGGTGGTGACTTGTGTGATATCGCCAGATATCCCAGAATGCATTTCGCCGCCAAAAAGCGGAAATGTCGGACAAGAAAACTCAGAACTGTAACTTATAATGCTGCTGTTGTGTCACATATAGTAGTTTTAAGAGTTTTTTATGTGGGAATATAGTTGTTTAAACTATAAATATGTGGTTGATTTCTCAAGACAAAGCTGATTTAAAAAATTGCTACGACGTTTTCGGAGATGTGAGATCCTGCCCGCTAACGGGTCCGGCCGTCATCAAGTCTGCTGCTGTTCCAATTGCTGAATGACGGACTGCGTGCTCCCGTTCCTGGGAGTTTGTACCCCCGAACTTGCCAAGTCCGAGCTTTAAAGTACAGAAGTCCGAACTTGGCGAACTCGGTATTGAGAAACAACCCATGTTTATGGATAATAAGTCCAAGGGGAAGCAGATACAAGGAAAGGGGAAGCAGATACAAGGAAAACAAAATGGGTCCTAAGACCGACCCCTGAAGCACACCATATTTAACTGGACAGAACGAAGAGACATAGCTGTTTACAGACACGCAAAACTTCCTATTTGACAGGTAGGATGAAAACCATTCTAGGGCAGTACCAGAGATCCCCACCCAGTGCCTCAGTCTGTCTAACATGATGTTGTGATCAATGGTGTCAAAAGCAGCGCTAAGGTCCAGGAGTATCTGGACTGAGCACATACCTTCATCAGCAGACATTAAAAGGTCATTGGTGACTTTAAGCAGGGCAGTCTCAGTGCTGTGGTACTTCCTGAAACCAGATTGAAACTTTTCAAATAATTTGTTATTTTCCAGTACAGTGAGCAATTGTTTGGACACAATTCTTTCTAAAATCTTTGCAATAAAAGGCAGTTTTGAAATTGGTCTAAAATTTTGAAGGGGGAGACAAAAGTTCCGCACTATAGATTTAAACAATCATCAGATGGTTTCATCTTAATTTTCTGACAAATCATGTACTTAGACAACTTGGTAGGTCAAACGGCACTCAACAGGTTCAGTCACGACAACTTTCATCACAGACTGATATTGTGGCACTGTAGTTGCAGTATGGCTCTGTTCTGGGATCTCCCTGCCATATCACGTGCTTATGTTGAAAGCCATGAAGCGGGGAGAGCAGCTCCCTTGTGTTGTCTTCTTCTGAAACAGTGAACCTTGATGACATGTTTGTTTGGCTCTAGCTGAATGCACTGCGCCAGTGCGGCTCTATCCATGAGCAGCAATATGACGCCCAGAGTCAACAACGGCAGCGGCGCATGTTAGCATTGTTAAATTCTCGGCCAAATCCATTTCCCGATATGATTCCGATAATGAAATATTCCCAATCGGATCGATAATTATCGAGCATCCCTGTCAGATACGGCCTGAAAGGGGGGCGGTGGGCTATGAGCTGTTTCAGAGGAAGCAGCGAGAGCAGGGAGGCAGGCTACGGCAGCTTAAATAAGGTGCCTTGTATGGAATTTGCAAATGAATGCTAGGAGATTAATCAGTTGAATTGTCAGCTGATGTGCTTGACTTCGTTGCCTGCCTGAACTAACGCTATGCTTGATTTGTGGCATAACTCTTTGGGTTTCTTTATACTGTGAATTGGCCCATAAGTTCTACCATGCTTAACCTCTAAAATCACCAGTACTGTTACAAGCATACAAAAAAAGAATGAACTTTTGTGGTGAGTTATTTCTCACTGCATTGCGCTTTGGGAGTCGTAGTTACATCTCACCTAAAACTGTCACGGTTTGGTTTGTCTGCTCTGTGTTCCGGTGTTTTTCATTTGTGTCTGTTTTCCTGTTTTATTTTGAATTTGTCTGTGCCTGGTGCTTTGTGCTTTGTTTCCTGTTGATCTGACTAGTCCCTAATGTGTTTCACCTGGAGTTCTTCTATCCCCGCTCATTTGTGTCTGTTTATATTGTTTGAGTTCACTCCTTTCATTGTCTAGTTCATGTTGCATGTTTCTTCGTTGTGCCCATCTGCCTGTAACTCTGCCAGTTTATTCTCAGTCTGTGAGTTGTAAATTTCACTCTTTCCTTCCTGGATGAATGTTTGTTTCATGTTTTGGATTTGGAATTTGCATTTGCCTTTTGGATTTTCTGTTTGGAGTACCTGTTTTACGTTGGATATTTATGTATGGATACCTGGAAAGTACCACAATGAGTTGTGCGCTTTATGTTATTCTTTAATAAACTACAATGAAACTAATTCTGTCGTGTTTGTGTCTGCATTTGAGCCCTACAACCTGTTCCTGCCTTGGCACACGGCAACAAGCCTGACAACAATTATAATGGACACTTCTTAGTTCCTTTCAATGACCAAGATTTCTTAACACTGTAAATTTTTTCCAAACAGCAAAAAGAATGACTTGCTTTCACATAGCCACCTGATACAAACTTGCCTTTTTACTATAAACAAACAACAACATTACCAAGGGGATTGGCAGCATCTACTAGTCTCTGTATTACACTAGCTGGTCTGATTTTATAGCATATCGTTAGGTAGCTTTTTGGCACAATTGTGGGAGGAGCTGTTGCTCTTCTTCCAGCACAAACAGGCAAAGCTTTTGCTACAGAAAGCAGCTTGGGGAATCTCACAATGAGAAACAGCAGCACAAGCAAAATCAACCAGCCAGTGGTGTGAGCAATAGGTGGTTTACTGTCTTGACTATTGTCTCATTTTTATATGGAAGAATCAGTTAATATGATACTGATTACACACTAAATGGAGGCGATACGAACCTTGCTCAAAGAGACTTTGACAATAACATATTCAGATAAGCATTACCATTGCATTTGCTATAGCACTGACATGTTATAATTTAATTATTACTACTGAATCAGTAAAATTAAAAAAAATATTTGATTGGCTTTTGAGGCACCTACCCGTTGACTGATTGGTAGATACAGTTATCAGTGTTTGTACACAGCAGCAGGGCCCTCCCACCAGTCATGGTGCTAGCAGCTGGCATCCTGCATAGTAAAAAAGACAGAGTCAGTTAGTAACATGTATTTGTATAATGGGGTGGGTGCATTGTGTGGATGGTAAAGATTTGTTGAAAAACATGTGAATGGAAAGCAGACCTATATTTCAACTTAAAGGTCATAAAGTTGTAAAGAAAAACATTTACATAAGTGAAACTGTTGATTTGAATTTAGACAGTTGAAAAGCTTCCAGCTAGTCTTGCTAAAGATGATACAAATAGGCGGACTTAAAGAATGACAAATGAGAGTTAGGTCAAAAGACGAGCTGCTTCCCCAGGACTCCCTTAGATAAGCTTTTCTGACTCTGGTGTGTGAATGCAAATGACCAAATAGCTCAAACCTCTCATTACTGTGGCTAGCGAAACTCATTTCTGAACCACGCAGCAAAGCAGACCTCACAGCTTGAGCGGCATCCCCCCAAACAGCAATCCCTACTTGATTGGTAATTGGAGGATACAGCAGAAAGCAAAGCTTGAACATTGGATAGCAAACAGGCACAACACACATTAAGTTCCAGCACCCATGGCATTATGGAAAACTTGTGGAATATGTGAAAAACACCACATTGTAATATAATCAAGCTCCATTAGGAAAACATCAGTGGCAACTGGAAACCAGAGAACTGCACTTTTTTAGGTTATCACTCAGTGTCTCGTATTTTTGCACTTGCCAGAACAGATTTCTGGAGTATTTTCAAGACAAGTACTGCACACACATTTTGATTTTGCAATTCACATACTCCTTTCATTCCAGAAAATAGCTTCCTTAATGTGCTGAGTGTCTTCCAGTGCTACACATTTGCCTCTGTTTTTTATTACAGTATACAGTAGAAGTAGTGCCAAGGAGAGTGTGAGGGTACATTCTCAGCCAGTTTGAAATTCTTACTTTTGTCAGAGTATAATAAAACCAGATCCACTTGGAGCCTAGCAAGACCATCCCTATGTAACATCGAATTAGAGCCGCTGGTGCACAGTATTCACGTCTTGGCCTATAAAACCTGGTGGAGGGCTGGCACGGAGCAGAGGGGCTTAGCCTCTGTCTGGCATGGATGTGGTTAACATAAGAGTGGAGGAAAGGTCAGGGCTAACTCCAATTCTCACATTTGTTCTTAAGTAAATTCACAGAAACACCAATACATGCTTTGCCACCCAGCTGCATACTCACACACAAAACCTCAAACTAAAACACACTTACTTACGTAAATCTGCACGTCCTGTCAAACAGTCCATACTCCAGACCAACTTATGGATGTGTGCGCATGTGTGACTTCAACCAGATGTGCTTGGGTACTTTAGGGTATCCATAGGCCATAAAACATTTCCTGAGCACTGCCTGGCCCCCTCCAATCTCTCCCAATAAACCTGCATTAGCTAACCCTAATACTTCTCTCCCTTGCTTCCTGACTATGTAGGGAATGTGAGCCTAATTCAGCCGAATTCCACAAATTATTGTCCCAACTGGCAGTGAGGTAAGTCAGAAACAAATTTCGGTAGATTACGTAAAATATTGCAGCCAAACAGCTGAACTATTCCTTGAACTAACAACATAATTGGCCCTCTGGGTTCAGTGTTTTGGAATGATTCTGGGTTTTCTTTTCTTCCGGAATGAAAGAACAAATTGACACTACATAGAAGTTGAGGGATTGTTTGACAAGAAATAAAAGTACAATATTCCATCTTTTAGCTTCTAGTTCTGTTAATAGCTCAATTGACAGCCCTCCATTGCTTTGTCTTTAGCCCCCCATCAGCCCAAGACTAGTCCCCCAGAGAGGTGGAGGAGGGTTTGCGTCAGCCATTCACTGGTCTGTAGGCCCAAATTATTTTCAGCTGTGAGCCGAGCAGAGGTCACATGTTTAAGGGGAAACATCAACCCATTTTTTCCTTCCTCCCCCTCCTGATTCTTTTCTCCTTAAAACCCAACACGGAAATGAAGAGCAGAAATCCTGCATAGAAAGGGGATGGGCAAGAAAGATTAGAAAGAATGTATATAGTCTCCTAGTTTTACAGTTTTTTCTTGGTTGGGAAGGGTGTTGCATATCACAAGGGGGGGAGGAAAGATGGGACATATGAAGAGGGAGCAAATTAAAGGCGTGGGGGAGAAAGGGGTTGTCAAAACTAAAGAGGGAAGTGGATATTGCAAAGAATAACAGAAGTATAATATTGCCCTGTGAAAACGGTGTAGGCTTTTAGCCTGTCCCATTTCATTATTCGTAGCCCTAAGGCCAAAACAGAAAGTGCTGTTCTGTGGAGATGATTGTTTACTGGGCTTGAACATATCTCAAACTTGACTCATACATTCATGACAGTTTTTCCCAGCACTTGCCTGAACCTGACAAGCAGTAGTGTCTTTGCATCTCGTAAATTTGACAACATTGCCAGGTTTACAGCGTTTGGTTACTGGGGAAACTCATTTTGGGAGCAGCAAAGGCTTTTTTCTCCTATAACTATTGGCAACTATTGTTAACCCTGACCCCCAGAGCAAGATGGCCACCATAACAATACAGAGGCTGAGGGAAGACATCTGCTGAGGCCAATAAAAACATCATGGGAAACTGAGACCCGAAAGACCTCCACCTGCCCTGCCCCCTTCAGTCTTAGCCCTGTGAGGTGTGACAGGCAGTGGACACTGCGGCAGAGGAAGTGGAAGTGGTATTGTTCATCAGCAGCTGGGTGGATGAGTGCTGGGTGGAGAAGATGGCAGTGGAAAGTGTGTCAGTATAGAAATAATTTACCATATTTTTGATATTTTTGTTTAATATTCAAAGAGATATTTATAAATTTTCACTTTGAGAATTCCTGTAAAAACACTATTTTATTCCCAGAATCACCTGTTGTCTCGATTGTAGCTTTTAGCTCATTTAGGTAAATGCTTCAGGTAAAAACTATTACACAAATATATTTCATAAAGGATAACAGTCCTGGCCTCAGATGAAAAGGATTAGTGCTCAACACACAATCATAAATGCCTTAAAGCCTATACTAGATCTGGCAGTGGACAGATTCTTAGAAGGATGTTGTTGTTTATTTAGGCTTAATGGCTAAACCATGGTGTCGTCTTGCTGTAATAAATAGGATCTCAGCGATTGACTACCACCTATTCTAGAAATGTATAGTAATGGAAAGTGGAGAGAGGGAATCCAGGGGTATTTATATATGTGAGTAAGTTTGATACTAAATAGAGACAACTTCGGCATTTAAACCATTTTTAACTGAAGTTGAGCAAACCTTGCAAAGCCCTGGCTGGGATCAAAAAGTTTGTACAATGTGCTGTTCACCCATTTCAGAAAGGAAGTCTTTATAATTGTTCTGTACTACCACCTTTGAAGGTGGGGTGAAAAGCCTGTCGGAGAAGGGCAAGACATGATCTCTCCTAGAAGCCACTGGTAGTGTTGCACTCATTTGTACCCATCAAAAATGACAGAAATTTTTTTGTAAAGAATGAAAAACTCACTTTTCCCTATCTCCACATACCCTGTCAATTGTTGTTTTGAAGTGAGTGTGAATGTCGTTTACGAATCTGACAAGCACTTTGAATGAAGCATACAGGCAGCTTTAGGCATAGCTGCTCTGTCAGCTACTGCAGTACTTTAGCTCAGCTTTGAGCTAAATGGTAACTTCAGAACGCTGATATGCTAATATTTAACATGTAAATATGCACAGTTATAACTATAAGGAATACATACATTAATTAGATGAGTTTCAGAGGTATCCTGCCATACTGAAGTAGTTAACTGAAGTGTTGGAACTGGAAATTTTGACTTTCTAGAGGCAAATGACAAGGAGTCAGAAAATGATCAAAACATTAAGATTCATCCCCAAGGCATTGTGAATATTTTGGCAAATTTTATGACAATTCTACAATACACTCTGAATCAAAGGCCACCTGACAAACTAATGCCCCTAGTATGACAAAAAATAGAAAAATTGAGACTAAAAGTAAAGCAAATAATTCTCATTTCAGTCTGGACAGCCATGTGATTAGTGTCCTCAGACCTCAGATCCAGGTATATACAGTATACTCTTTTCCTATTGGCTCACAGGGTTCCCAGACATCAGGTCTGCAGTCGGGCCCTTCTCCATAGAAAAGTCACTACATTGAGTCCAAATTTCACACATCTGGCACAAATTTTATCAGACCTTGGTTTGGTCATAGAGTAGTAGATGAATCCCTGATTCACAAAGACTGGGCACATTTGTGTACTGTATGTTAGCCAGCACACAGGCTCGTCACTGGTACACACATACAGGCCTTTCATTGATGACTCTTGGACTAACTGTTCTTTCAATCTGAAGTCATGAAATGGTGAATCCACAGAGGTAAGTCAAAGAATCAGCCTGGACTCATTCGATGGCAATGTGATGACACACACACACACACACACTCTACACACAAACTTTTTCCATGATTAGCTGTAACTCAAGCTGTGTCAATTCTGAATTGGTTTATAAAAGCACTGCTATCGTGACTTTTGTGAATCCTATTGTCAGTAATAAACTGTAAAATGTTTCTTTCTGTAATACTCTTCACAGTGAAATGCAAGTGTACACAATATGAACTCAGAGCGATGTCATCAGTCAGCCATTCTCTAAGTGTTAACTCTTGGTGATAATCAGGTGATGTTTTGCTGTTGAAGTTGAATTAGCTTTAGCAGGTGGTCCTGTCAGTGTTTTGTAGCTAGCTTTATCAGACATCTGATTCGTTGTCAGCGAGCTGTGCTCTGGAGGCCTGCCTGCCCTCCTCTCCCCAACAGCTGCTTCTCATAACGATTTCATCCTCCCCTCTATCCCTCTGTCCCTCCATCCAGGTCTGCAGAAACAGCTAACACCATGACATCATCATCCCTGCACTCTTTTCTCTCTTTGTCATTTCAAAATACCTTAAAAGGGCAAAGTCGCTCACAGCCCACGCCGCATTTCACAGTTATCAGGACATGGGAGTCACAAAAAATACAGAAAGCAACCAAAGAGAGGCAGCCCCTGAACCACTTG